CTATTATCAGAAAGACCTCGGTGATGATAACTTATGGGTCAGGGTAAAGGGTATACAGAAGAAGAACTTGGTGTTTTACAGACTTACGTAGGGGCCAAGCTGACTCACCACTTGCCTAGAAGAACAACGTTGTTTTCAGAGAAAGAGGATTGTGGGCACCGTTGCGGACAGGCACACATGGTCATTTCACAGTATCGGAACTAGAGACCCGTTATAACATGTCCTATTGAATTTCACTTAAATGTCTGTGCTGTATCAAAGTGGGAAGAGAGGAATTTTTTTTAAAAGTTTACTTTTTAAGTTCTTTATCTTTAATTAAGTCCTTTATTTTTAATTTTTGTTGAACATAGGGGTGGATGGTCTATTTTGAGTATTTCCAATCAAGAAATTAGAGTAAATTGAAATAATTATCAGAAGTTACCGAGATTCACTCCCAAACTCAGTCCTGTTGTGAATTTCTAATGGGTAGATCTGCTATCCATAAGCCAGGTATTGTTGAAGAGAAATTTCTGTAATCACCTCAGTAGCCTGTTTTTCTTCAGCACCAGCCAGCACTCAAAGGCAGATAGTTTAAAAGTTTCATTAGTTACAAAGTGCATTAGATCAGATACTGGCTAATATTGCTTCTCTTTTTTAACTTAATCCTCTCTTACTCTAACACCTCCTCCCATCCCAGTTTGCCCTTTCTTTTTTAGATCAGTGATTCTGAATCTTTTCTTTTTCTGCCCTAGCCCTTTGAGAGATTTTTTTCACAATAATAATGACTCATTGCACCACTGATTCTCAGTAATGCAAATATCTTTGTTCATTTTAACAGACTTCTCATTTAATTCTGATTTTAGTGTAATTAAACCACTTGCTTTACTACTGGACTTTCAAGGCCTTTCATACGTCAATGTGCTCTATCAGTGTTTTGAAGGAATACAGAATATGTGCTGTTTCCCAAACTTAAGTGACAAAATTTCACACCTTCCAGAATACTACTCAGCTGTGAAAAAAGACATAATCCGCCCATTTGCAGCCATGTGGATGGACCTTGAGGGCATCATGTTAAGCGAAATAAGCCAGACAGAGAAAGACAAACACCATACGATTTCACTCATATGTGGAATATAAACAAACTTACGGACAAAGAGAACAATTTTGTGGTTACCGGGGTGGGGTGGCGGGAGGATGGTGGGCACAAGGGGTGCAGGGCCACATTTATATGGCGTTTGACAAACATTAATATACGACTTAAATTTCACAATGTTATAAACTACTTAGACCACATAAAAAATTAAAAAGAAAAAAAACTTCACACCTCCCCACCTTGCTCCCTCCACTGCCACTCCAGCCAGATTGGAGGATCCCTTCTGGGTATAATGAGTTCTTACAGTGATAAAGTCTTTGAAACAAAGGTTACGATGTCATGTAAAGTAAGATGTTTCTTTATTCAGCAGTATTATTTTAAAAGTGAAAGTTCATCCACATAGTAACCAACTGGCTGAAAATGAATAAAGTACAAACCTCATCTTCTTATAAGGCAGTTCCCATGCCCATTGTCTCTTTTGAAGCTCCTCACTACTCAGAGAAATGTTATTCAAAAATTACTCAATAAAAATTATTGGTGGGCCAGCCTGGTGGCACAGTGGTTAAGTTCACACGTTCCAATTCAGTGGTCCGGGGTTCGCTGGTTCAGATCCTGGGTGCAGACATGGCACCACTTGGCAAGCCATGCTGTGGTAGGCATCCCACATATAAAGTAGAGGAGGATGGGCACGGATGTTAGCTCAGGGCCAGTCTTCCTCAGCAAAAAGAGGAGTATTGGCAGTAGATGTTAGCTCAGGGCTAATCTTCCTCAAAAAAAAAAATTTATTGGTATACTGTAAACATTGCAAACACATCCACTTTAGCATATTCATACAATGAACATCCTTTGAGGGTTCTTTCTGTGATCTGGAGTGTATATGGGGTGGAGCAGATTTTTAAATTATGGGCTATATTTATCCACTATCAACAAAATAGAGAAATGGGGCTGAACCTGGTCTTTTCCTTCCCTCCCTATAATTTCCTCTGTTTCTAATTTTGTAGCAATCAAGTTTCAACTAGTTAATCAAATGTCTTTTGTGTGGCAGGTGCCAGGGTGTTTGTTTTCATTAGCGTACCAAATGCCATATTTAGAACTTGGCCTTTTGGTTAACTGGCTACAAGCATGTCTTTAAACCATTAAATGTGTGTATTTAAACTCAGCATTTATTTTTACATCGCCCTATCCAAATAATCAGGATGTGGTTATCTGTAAGATGATACATTATGACATTTTTCCTATATACACCCAAGCACAAAAATATATGCCTCAGACATAATCATCAATATTATAAACACTCATCATTCTTTGCCATTTATAAGATTGTGGAGATGGAGAGAAACCTGGTCAGTAAAATGTGCGTAAAAATAGTTAAAGGAAATCCACATGGAAAGGCTTATAAAATTGGGCAATTTCACACTTTGTGACCTGTTTTTAACGTGATAGAAAACGAGGAAGAAAAACACCACAATTGTAGTTTATCTTTGATTGAATGAGAAAGCTATTTTTAGAAAGATAAGCCAGAATTGTGAGATCATTTTTAAAAGAGTTTTGTTTTTCATATATCTTCCTTTTTGTTGACGAAAGTCAAAGAGCAAATCCAGAAGGGAAAAATACGATTCAGTGGCGGATTTTCTAAAGGAGTAGGTGATACAGGTTTTGGTTGGTATTTTTACCAGGTAACTGTTGCATCCTTTCTCGTTATTCTTCTACCGTCTCAATTTAGAGACATAATCGTGACTTATTGTTGTTGACACTTACCAAAAAACTCAGCTTAAATATCAATTTGTCAGAAAGAGAACACAGAGACAATTTACTGCCCTCTTCCAGAAAAGATGGAATACAGAGAAGCAGCTAGTGACTAAGATGTGACCAGATTCCAAAATAGACTAATTGGTAACATAATGAAGAAGTAGTTTAGACTACATTATGTGAAAATTAAGATTATATTTGATAAATAAATGTCATAGACAATGCTAAAATATTTTATCTCTATTTTAAGCCTTAACACACAAGGAAATACAGATGCTTCTCTGTCTATATAAAATACTTGTATTTGTCTGTATTCTAGCAGATAACATTGATTACCAAGATCTACACTGAGGTTCACAAAAACAGTATTTTAAGGAAGAAACATAAAGAAAATCTTGGGTCACACCAAAGAGAATGTAGTTACTGAAGTAAAACTTAGTAGTAACTTATAAATGTTCTTTGATTTATAAATGACAAATACTATATGGGATAAAGAAGTTATGCATGAATCAATTCAATCCTCTCAAAGCTCTTCTGAGGTGAGAATTACTCCTCACTTCACAGATACGGAAAATAAAGGTCGAGTCGGTTAAATGATACACACCCAAGGTCACACTAACACTAAAGCAAAAATGAGACTCAAATTCAGTTCTTCAGCTCCATCCTAGCATCCTTGCCTTTCTGCTCCCAGCAGGTTTCCAAATCATTTTTTTTAAGGAAATAGAAGTTTACTACGACTTCTCGTTCATAAAGGATGGACTGGGGGACTTCCCAAAGTCGTGTACTAAGCGGCAAAGTCAAGCCCATTCTGTCACAGCTCAGTCCCTCATCTTCACCCAGCCGGGCACCGCCTCCCTCTTTCCCAGAGGCCAATCTGGCAGCCAGTAGGCCTGATACAGATCATAGATAAGCCTTAATTGGATGTACCGTAGCTGTTCATGTAAAAAGTCATAAGTGTATAAATGGCACATCTTTGTGCTTACCACACAGAATTAACAAATGTGATATTTTGACATATTTGCTTTAAAAAATAGAGAGAGATAAAAACTATCTATGTTTCCTCCATAATCTTATTTCCTTCCCATCTTCCCCAGAGGCAAGCATAATCATGAATCAAGTTTCATCGGTTTATACTTTAATTATATGTAGATTTCAAAATATATAGAATTGCTTTGTATATTTCCAATTTAGGTAACATGGTAGCATTCCATATGTATTGTTCTAGAAATTCTGATTTTCCCCCAAAACTGTTTTTCTGAAATGCATACATATAAATACACATAACAATTAGGTCATTTGTTTTAACAGTAAATACACGTATATTTATTTGTTTTAAGTCCCTAGTATGATTACACCTCAACTGATAAATCCATTTCCTACTTGAGTCGATTTCAGTTTTCTACTACTATAAACAATGAGGCTATGAACTTTCAGATATATGTCTCCTTACAAACTTTGACCCATTTTTACTTAATTGTGTCTATTTTTAAAACTTTATTTATCAGAGTTATTTAAATGTTCCAAATGCTAATCTTTCTTTTTCATATCTGTTGAAAATATATTCCACTTTGTAATTTGTTTATTATATCCTACCATACAGAATTTTTCAACTGTGATATGATGAATTTAATATTTTTTTCTAATCTAAGAGATTCACCTTTTGAATCTTGCTTAAGAAATCCTGACATATCACAGGGACATAAAGATATTCTCCTATTAGATCTGTGCTGTTTTTCAGATTTTGAATTTAAATGCTTTAGGACACAGCACATTCTCTCTGGCTGATCACAGACCCCACCCAGCCGTATTCTCTCATACCTGGCCAATTTTACACATTTCCCCTTAGGTACGTGAGGTTATAATCCCTGACTTAGACAGTCAAAGAATAAAATTACACAAACTAGATTTCTCAGACTTGGGTTACTTTGAATTAAATAATGATTATAGCTGTACAACCCCAGTCTAGGTTTCCATGGAAATGAAGTCTCCATAGAATTCATCCTAGGAGATTGACAGCTTCTATTAAGTATTATTTAAGTTTTGCAGAGGTGAACTCCAGCACAAAGAAGCTGAATAATTTGGTTTATCACCTGTCTATAACAAGCTCTATCGGATTTTTCGTTTTCTATCTTTATGTGCCACACTAAGAAATGTTAACCGTGATGTATGTGACCCTTAGATGCTGGACTGGAGATTGGCAAGTGCACATTTGATCCTGGCTGTGATGTTGATGCTGTGGAGCTCAGGAAAAGTGCTCTCAGTGGATGTCACAACAGAGGTAACGGAAACTAGCTTAAGCGACCATATGTGTTTTTATAAACATAAGCCATTTCTGCTAATGTCAGAAGCAAGTGCTGCTGACAAATAGGGAGATGACTCGACCCACAAAATCAAGCAAATAGGAATTTTTTCTATGTCTTATCCTCACCCTGGATTCAGAGAAAGCAAGATATCTAAATGCTAAATAAATAAATAAATAAAAATAACAAAGGTTTGTATCCCTTGAACAAAAAAGCATAAGAGAAAATTCATTATCATTTCAGCCATATTTATAATTAAATCAATTACATAAAGATGAAGTCCTTTTATGTGAAATTTGAAGTTGTTTACATGTCAAAATTTGAGTAGTTTGGGCCAAACTTTTTATTATTGAACAAATGTTTTCTTGTGGCCGTGACTAAACTACAAAGGAAAAGAAATTTGAGGACATCGCCACACAGAGAAAAGTTAATTTGGCTTATTTGATCTTATTAGAAACATATTCTTTGTACTTCTTAAATAACAAAGTGAGAATCTGAAATGGATTTTACTGAAGGACAAGTTTTAATTAAGTTCTATAATTTTTTCTCTGAGGATTAAGAATATGTTTAAAAAGAAATAAGAAAGAAAGAAAAAGAAACAAAGAAAACCCCTGTATTTTGTATGCGTGTCAGTTGGAAGAATGAAAACATTTTTTTGGAGGATGCTCTGAGAGATAATAAAATATCTCCTGTCTTTGCCCTTCGAAGGTTTATCTCCTGCTCCTTAGTGTTTCTCATGATTATAGCAACCTTCCCTTCTCCAGTTTCTATGTTGTCAAGCTTATATAGGGAAGTGATAGAACATGAGATTTTAAGAGGAGTTTGGAACCATATTGTGGACTTTGCATTGTAAGTAACAAAGAGCTGTAGAGATTTTTAATTTTCCTTTTGTATGATGAAAGTAGTGTTGTGGATAATTAACTTCATGGCATCATTTGGGATAGAATGGAAAAGAGAGGGAGATAGGGGATAAACAAGTTATAAGGGGATTAAGAGTGTACACTAAGCAGTCAAGAGGGCCTGATGAAAGCCATCTCTGATGGAAATCGGAACAGCAGGGCAAGAGGGGTTTTCCAGAGAGAACTGACCAGACTCAGCGTAGATTTGATTGGTTTAGCGAAGAGGAGGCTCAATAGCTTTGAGTCTGTGTGTCAGACTATAAGTGTTTCAAGAGTTGCTTGAGTCAATGATGAAAAGGCTTAGAAAGTGCTATTCTTACGGTATGCTATTCTTGCAATTAGTCTTTGGGTGGTGAACATGATGTAATCTACACAGAAATTGAAATACAATGATGTATACCTGAAATTTATATGATGTTATAAACCAATGTTACTGCAATAAAAAGAGAATAAAATACACTCAGCTTATTAAAAAAAGATTATATTACAATCTGAATCTGTGAAAACAAAATTTTAAAAAACTGCTGAATTTAAGGAAGCCTATAATAATAAATGTAAGGAAAATGAAAAAAAAGTAAAAGAAAGTACTGCTCTTTCATTTTATTGGAGAAAATGAAGAGAATAGAAAGAGAATGGAAAAAATAATAGAAGAAGAAAGATAGGAAGTGAACTAAAAGAGTCTTGCCAAGACCAAGAGTATGGCACATGGAATAATGTGTCTAAAAAGGGAAAAAGAAGAGATACCTGGAGCTAAAGTTTCTTGCTATAGGGGAATATTATATGCGTCTAGGGGAAAAAATAACATCCCCTGGACTATACAATGTCTTGAGATTGTTAATAGGAGTATTTAAAAAAATGCTGTGAGTGGGGTTTGGAAAGGAAAAGACAGACTTCACAAACTGGACACTCATACTTTTATGACTTGGATGAAGCGCAAAGTGGCAATATGTGTAAGAGACAAATAAACAAACAAGAAATCTTACAAGAGATAGTAAAGTCACTGGGTTAGCTCTGACTCACTATTGACACTCATTAATATTTGTTAATAAATCACATGGATGGAGATGGTAAGCTGCCTGAGGGTAGAGACTGGATTTTGTTCATTTTTCTATCCCTCAGGACTAATACAGATCCTGGTACGTAGTGGATGCTTAGAGGCTTGAATCAACAAAGTATGAATGAATAGTGAAAATAAAACAGCATGAGGTTTCGTTTTTTCAGAATTCATTCAATAAATATTCATCATAAATTCATTGAGTACTAACTGTGAGCAAAATACTGGGATAGGCATTGAACAGAGGAAATGAAAGACTGATTAGACATAGTCATTGCCTTCCAGTTACTCACAATCTAATATGCAACACAAATATATTGGAATCAATCAAAGGAAAATGTAATAAGTGTAATGAGGAAAGTCGTATAAAGTGCTATGGGAATGATAAGGAAAGACGCAGCTGATACTGGGAAAGAATCTGAAAGAATGATCAGTTAATATGCTAAATTTTAGAGGCAAGCCTGGAGTTTTTCCTTTTTTTTCTTTGGGGGTGTGTGTGTGTGTGTTTAATTTCTTTTGGATATACTTCACCTCTGTGGGGTTTTGCCCCCAAAGTCTTTCTCTCCGGACCATAACTCCACAAGAAATCAAGTTTCATGACAGGCACATCAGCTAAAGACAGCAAAAGCCAAATGCAGACGATTATACATATTTGAGATTTCTTTTTCTTAACGAGTGGAATCACCTTCCTGCCCTATAGGCCTTTGATTCTGGAGTCATACATGTGCAGTCACCACCCACAGTCAGGGAAGAGAAATCAGCCACTGATCTGGCAGCAAAACTCTTGCTTCTTGATGAACTTGTGTCTCTGGAGAATGACGTGATTGAAACAAAGAAGAAAAGAAGCTTCTCTGGGTTTGGCTCCCCCCTGGACCGACTCTCAGCTGGCTCTCTAGAGCATAAAGGTAAACAGAGGTAAGGAACTCTTGGAGAAGAAACGCTTTTATTTTTTTAATTCTTCCACTCTGAGTTCAGAAACAGAGAGAATTCCACGTTAAAAATCCAATGAAAACCTTGTAGGTTAGCAGATTTGACATTGTGTTAGGTAACTCATGCGCTTAGTAGTATGATTTTGGAAATAACCGTTTACGGAGAAAAATGATTGCTACAGTATGCATTAATATTTTTATCATGCTATTTCCCAAGGAAGATTCTGTTGTGTATAGATACAAAATAGTTATTAGGAGACATGACAGTATTTGAGAGGTAAGTGGAAATGAGTGTGCAATGGGATAAATGTTCTGATGAACTGGGTTTTCTATTTAATAGAGGTAATCAGAATACTACTTTTATTATTACCCATGATGCAAAGCTTTCCAAATTTTGTGAGTGCGTCCTATACCAAAATGTAGTGGAAAGCTCTCAGGACTTGGAGTTGAAACACGTGTGTTTAAGTCAAATTTCTGATCATTTCTAACCATGTGACTTCTAAAAGAATCTTACCCTGTGTGATGCTCAACTTATTTATCTGTAAAATGGGGATAATTACTTACCTCCATAAAAATCAAATGAGTGCTGTGTAAGCTGTTAATTATGATAACAGAATTAGAGTAATTAAGTCTCCCTGTCATCACTGAGTAACTCAGTACTTCAAAGCAGTCATTCCAAACAATTCGTTTTCTACCCCCTAAATATCTGCTTCTCATGCTGTACATTTCGTGTTAGCAATGGCACAAGAGACCACCCAATTAGCAATGTCTGGAATTGGGGGAATTTACTAGGATTCCTTTTACTCACCAGAATTCCTTTTGCTCACTCTAAACATTCCATTTTTCACTAAATTCTCTAACTCCTATTTGTTTTATATGTTAAATATCTCCAGAATATCCTTTCCTGTTAAGGCTTCCCTAATTCTGGCCTTACCTTTTTCATATTTTTTCTTTCTCTATTCTTTTTTTTTAGGTTAGAATAATTTTTTTATTGCGGTAACATTGGTTTATAACATTATGTAAATTTCAGATGTACATCATTATATTTTGATTTCTGTGTAGATTACATCATGTTCGCCACCCAGAGACTGATTACAATCCATTACCACACACATGTGCCTAATTACAACTGTGCCCTCCTCCCTCCTCCCTTCCCCTCTGGTAACCACCAATCCAATCTCTGTTTCTATTGATTGTTTGTTATCATTTTTACCTGCTATTTATGAGTGAGATCATACAGTGTTTGACTTTCTCCCTCTGACTTATTTTGCTTAGCATAATACCCTCAAGGTCTATCCATGTTGTCACAAATGGCCAGATTTCATCATTTTTTATGGCTGAGTAGTATTCCATTGTGCATATATACCATATATTCTATTTTTTTTATTGCAGTAGCATTGGATTATGACATTATATAGCTTTCAGATGTACATCATAATATGTTTCAAATTCTGTGTGGATTACATCATGTTCACCACCCAAAAACTAACTATAGTTCATCACCACACATGTGAGCCTAATCACCTATTTTGCCCTCCCCCCTCCACCCTTCCCCTCTGGTGACCACCAATCCAATCTCTGTTGCTATGCATTTGTTTGTCATTGTTTTTATCTTCTACATATGAGTGAGATCATAGAGTATTTGACTTTCTCCCTCTGACTTATTTCACTCAGCATAATACCTTCAAAGTCCATCCATGTTGTTACAAATGGCCGGATTTCATCATTTCTTATGGCTGAGTAGTATTCCATTGTGTATGTCTACCACATCTTCTTTATCCATTCGTCCCTTCATGGACATCTAGGTTGCTTCCAAGTCTTGGCTATTGTGAATAATGCTGCAGTGAACATAGAGGTGCATGTATCTTTATTCTTTCTCTGTTCTTTCTTCATCTCTACTTCCACCACCATCACCACCCCTTTATCGTCAATATGTCCTTTACTCTGCTATGAGGGGGATCATCTAACACAAGAATCTTTTTGTGAAATGTTCCCCATTGCTTATGAGATAAAAGCAAGCTCCTTATGTAAATCCTATGAAGAATTTTATAATCTGGCACCTCATTATTTCTTGCACCTGTCTCCACATTCTTTGCTCCAGTCTTACCTGGTTACATGGAGTTCTAGGACTTGTCCTGCTTGTGCCTGGGTCTATGACTTTGCTATATTCAATGATTCTCAACATGCAGGATGCAATTTGCTAGACTTCTGTTCTGAAAGATTCTCAAAGCTACACTAGGAAATAAAATCATCACTTTGGGACTATAATTTATCCTACCTGTACCTGAAAAATAATCTCACACTTACATGTTGAAATTCAGACCTATTTTAATTAAACAAATACAAATTAGTTTCATTTATGTTCTAGGCACTGTGTTGGGCTATGGTGGAAAAGAGGAGGAAAATATAGTCCCTACCCCTCAAAGAAATCAAATATTAATAAGAAACATAGAAATATTTATAATGAGTTGTAACACAAAGCAAGAAAAAAATATGTTTAAAGAGCAATTTATAAAGAAGGCCATGGAAATCCAAGAAATAAGTGGAGAAAATAAGTGTCTTATAAGAAGTCTTATTTCTTTGATTCCTGGATCTTGCAACATAGTCTATTAAATAATTTGAAAATCAATATATAAATGTTATATGTAAATATTTATATATAAACTTATAATAGCATACATAGAATATATACCAAATATATATTGCATTAATTTTATCAATATATATAATCTACATTGAGATTTCATCACAATAATTTCTGCAGGAAGTGTCATAAAGAGAGACTGTATTAGGATATATATCTCTAACATGTATCTATATATGTTAGATATACAGATATATAGATATATATCTATAGACATGTTAGAGATATGTATATATCTGACATAGCTTACAAAGAATAAAGGGAAATTGACAAGCATTTAGTATCCATTTAAACAGATTTCTATATATGAGTTAAAAATAAACTATTATGAGTGTGCAAAAAATTAGAGAATATTGTTCTCATGAGCGCTTTCTGAGGAAGCTACTAGATGAGTTTCTTCAGGCAAACAAAATGACTGGAGAGATATCATCATAAGAATTGGTGTGAGCATAACTTTAAAATTAAAGTGAAATGATGGTTGCAAGGAAAAGAGTGCCATGTGTTACAGTTATACAGTCTGACAATATAGATACATCAAAGTATCAAACAACTGAGGGACAATAGTAAGAGCATATAAATTTAGAATGATTTTTTGATTCCTTCATGGCTATTAACCGGGAATAAAAGGATATAACAACAATTAGTTGCCTGGAGACATGGAGAAGAAGCAAAAAGGAATACCAACTAAATGTAATGAATCTTTTTCTAATTAATAAAAGACAAAAACTGAAAAGAGAGAGGAACAAGGATTTTCATATAAAAATATTAGCACAAAAATAACCAGAATAAAAATTAAGGGGCCAGCCCCGTGGAGAAGTGGTTAAGTTCGCGAACTCCATTGTGGAGACGGGTGCAAGAAAAAGAAAGAATAAAAACTAAAACTTTCCTATAAAAAAGAAAACACAATAAAATAAGATGAAGTGAAAAACTTTGTATAAAAGATTCATATATATAAATATAACAAAATATGATGGATTTCAAAAAATATTGATCATATCAGTAAATGTAAACAGATGTAACTTGCCTGTTAAAATACAAGTATTTTCAGATTGGCTGATAAAGGAAAATTCAACGCTTTTCTGTGTTTAGGAGACACAACTAAAAATAAAGAGATTTATAAAGGTTGACAACAAAAGAATGGACAGATTATACAAGAAAAATCATAAATTAAAAATAAAAAAAGATGCAACAATATCTATCAAAGAAAAACCACAGGGAATGCTGAGAAATAGAAAAAAAGAAGTATTACTAATAGGAGACGTTAATTCATTTTTTAAAATCCAAGACAGATTATATATTGAAATTTATAGAATTTATAAATCTGCTTTGAACTCTGAACTTCAGATAGAAAATATAACTTCTTCTCAAGTGCATACGGAATATTCACAAAATTTATGACATCTGAGATGACAAACAAACCCTCAAGAAATTCTAAAGAACAGATCTAATGCAAAAGCATTCACTAACTAAAATACAATGAAACCAGAACTTAATAACAAAACCAGAAAACAAGAAGGTATAAATCTGGAATGTATAAACCATGCCATTACATTAGTTATTGGGTCAAAGAGGAATACAAAATAAGTTTACATATTTTATTGAAAATAATAATATAGAAAATGTAATATTATGGGCAGATAAAGCAAACACCAGATAAGAATCAGCATTATAGTAATAAAAGTAAAAATAAAGCAAACACTACACAACAAAAATCTAGAAAGAATAGCAAAGTTAGGCAGAAAAAGCAGGGGGGAAAAAGCAGAAGGTAGAAATTAATGATAAAATCTGAAATCAGTAAGTTTTTAAAGCAAACACAGGATATAATAAATACATGCAAAACTATCTTTCTTAAAACAACAAAAGGCAAGCCACTAGCTAACCTAGTTAAGAAAAAAGTAGAAAGCAACTTCACAAAATTAGCAATGACAAGACAGAAATAACCATCAAAACAGAAGAATATAAGAAAAGCATAGGAAGCTACTTTGCTCAACTCTGCCTAAATAAATTGAAGACCTAGAAAAAATGGATAAAATTTTAGAAAAATATAATCTACAAACATTGACCCCCCCAAAAAGACAAAAACAGTCCAATTACCATGGAGAATTTTTTTTTTTTTTAAACCTTGCCAAGAGACAGCACCAGATCTAGATATTTTCACAGGAGAATTTTACCAAGTCTTAAATTATCAGATACCCAATGTTATTTTAACTTTTCAGAGCATGATAAGAAAGTAAATTTTCCAAGTTCATTTCCTGAAACAAATATAACATTGACCCTCAAATCACAAGTATTACATTTTAAAATGGAACCTTTAGACTTATCTTATATATGAATATCAATGC